AACGTTTACCGATGCGAGCTTCCGATAGTGAAGAAACGAAAACGAAAAAATTTCGATTAACAAGTTAGTCGGTATTCTCGACACAGCAATTACAGGACTTGAACAGTGGAACTTTGTAACTGAACACGAAATTATGTCTGTTTATAGAATTAAAGAAAAAGTATTAGAACCAAAAACGAAGCAACTTAAATTGAAAGAAATGTTTAATAAAGTAAATAAATATTAAGTTCTTTATTTATTTTTATTTTTATTTTTTGTAAATTTTAATACCCTTTAGATGATAACTGCTCTTTATTTCATAAATTACGGTTTCATATTTTTAATTGTATAATTTTTGGATGCCATCTCACTAGATTTAAATTGATGATCTATAATCCGGAATCGCCGAAGTCCAGACGAGTCCGTATTACAGACTTTGTACTGCATATGGCATTTTTCCCTCCTTTGAGCACGCCTTCGTGGTGCAACAGTAACACACTCGGCGTGTATTCGAGAGGCCCAAGTTTGAGTCCCGGCGAAGGCATTGCACATTTTTCGTATCTCCTGCTTCAAAAATACCTAATGTCTCGACAAAAAAATTACTCACTTTTATCCAAAAACATATATTCCACCACCTTGCCAAACCCAGTTTTACTGATATAATATCACCAAATTGGTGAATCAGTAAATTACACTTTGCATTATGTATATCACTCAAAGCCTTTGAAGGCAATTCCCCCCCCAACAAGAAAATGAAACGGTCGATTTCCTGACAAAATCAATATAAAACTGTTTGAATTAAGGTAAGTAATGCATTTACTAATAAATATATTTAAGACTTAATGCTATTTGTAAAGATGTGAAAAAGTAATTTATTGATTTTATGGTTGTAATAACAAGTTTAGTGTTACAGAAACTGTACAAAATATAAAAAGTACTAGAATTCTCTTGTCAACTTTATTGCTGTCTTAAAAAGTCTCTCCAAGACTAATTCTATTACAAAGCAAAATTTTTTTAAAAACCTAAATAATGTCCTTGAAGACATACTGTATTATTTGCCAATTAACTGCTTTGTAATAAGATAAACATATATCATCTTTTCTGATAACTCTCTCTCTATATATATATATATAATTTTAAAAATTGCTTGTATTTCATCTATTATATATTATTACCCTATTTTATGTAGCTTTGTTTATTATATAATTATCAATGCAAGTCTACTGCATTGTAACAATTTGTCTTATTTATAATTTACTATTAATTTCGCTTTATCGTTTCATCTATTCTATGTGTGTTGGTTTGCATTGTAAACATTTATGCTCTGCGATTATCCTACATTACAAAGGCTAGAAAAACCAATATTAATTACCAAGCTTATAACATCACTACAGGTGACTTTATAGTATGGTTTGATAATATTTGCAATAAATAAATCAAGATTATGAAATTTATGATATTCACATTCTTAAGAAATTTGAATGTACTTTGCTTTTGCGCACAAAGAATGTTAGGAGATGTATTATTTATTACAGCTTTCACCCTTGAAATACAGAAAGGAAGTTTCTGAGAGATTTTCAACCTACGCAGCATCATTTCAAAAGAAATAACCAATTTAAATTCGCTCTATAACGCCACAGTTCAGTTTAATCAAGCATTTACCGTATTTACTCACATATTTCCTAGCACAAGGTTTTGAAGGAATTTTAAATATTTATTTTCCCTTTCTTCTAAACATTCAGATGCCAGCTTTCCTAAATTTTAAAATGGATTTTTCCATGGACTTATTGTTTTAGTAATTCATTTGTTCACGAATTTTGTGTGCATGACTCTGCTTGATGAAGCAATAATAATGAAGAGATTCAAGAAAACAGGAACATCTAAAGCCCATGATCGTTCTGATGCATCAGAAGACTGAGCAAAAGGTGACACAGACAGCAGTAAAAGCAACAGTAAATGATTAGATGCCTACACAGTAACAGAAGACAATAAGAGAGCAGGAGATTCAAGATACAAGACATAGAAATGAAGATATCTCATTAGGTATTGGTAATGTTATATGATGTATTCTTATTGAAAAATTTCTTATATATAAAACAATACTGTGATGGTTACCAATAGTTTATCATTAACACTTTTCCTTTGAAAATTAAATTATTTACATAATTTTCCCTTAATAAAATTGGTAAAAAAGGAAAAACATGCAATTTAATACAACTTGAGTGTAAAACTATTAATATTTAATCAGAAAGTTTATATTTTACACTCATTAGTTAACTCAATTTTGTTTAAGCTTCTTATACTTTTAAACTGAGGAAATTTTGAGCAAGGAAGGTTAACTTGGAAAAGTGCTTTTAAATATGATGAAAATAAAATTAATAATAAACACTCATGCTATCCCGCAGATAAACTTTGTAATGCACACCACATATTGGTGTAAAACAAAATTAAATATAAATTTTACTTGATTAAACATTATATAAAATAAATGTCTACATTAAATAACAATACAGATTAAAATGCATTTAATGAGAAAATGTTGAAAAATCGCTAAATATTAAAATTTATTTCTTCTAAACACCTTTCATTAACCCTTTCTGGCACACTACTCTTTAAAGTTGGAATTTTACCAAAAAAAATTGTAGGCAGTCTTTTTAGGCCTAGGAGAGTATGCATGTATAATTTTACAAAGATTGCACAAAACATTTCCATTTTGTGGGTGCGTCCAAAGCGAGTCACTGAGCCGAGATAGGTGAGCATTTCTGTAAAGCACGTATTACAGTAAAATACTTTGTCTATGATTTAAAAACAGAATCTTATCTCTGTAGCAGATTTAGCATAACCCAGGGTGCACCACAGACAGGGAGGCCTGCTCTCTACATCCCCAAAAACAAAAACCGGGGGAAAAAAAGGAAACTCTCATTGCTTTGGCAATGCTGAGGCCTCTCCGAGCCATTTACACAATTTTAAAATTTATAAGAAAAATAATTAAAATACTATAATATTTACGATTAATTATTGACTAGAAAAAATAATTATTAAATATATATACAAATTAAAATCCACAGAAATCAAAACTAAGTAAACAATGCATGATGAAAGGAAGAGGAAAAAAATGGTCTGCTCTCACTGAAAATCAAATAGCTAAAAGAAAACAAAGCACCGGAGTCTTCAAAACCAAAAAATAGAAAAGAATAAAAACAAATATAAATAAATCTGTGCTCTCGGTCTCCGCCGTGTTTGAAGCACAAGACCAGATTCTGTGACTCACTCCCACGTGACAGGCGCTACCAGTACAGTGTGTTCAGTCTGAACATACCTTACACTGAAGGCTTCAATATACGTTATAATTCAAAGATAAAAATTAAAAGTAAATGCAGAATAGGCAGATTATCATATGAATAACAAAATTATATAAATATTTTTTTCATCGATATTCTTTATATTTAAAAAAATCTTAAACATTTCTTTGAAAAATCAGTCTTTAAAAACAGAATATATCTCAAGATTATGATTTGCTTGTGTGGCGCTGCCATCTACTATTCATAAGATATTAAAAGTAACCATAAGTGTAGTTTTCATGATATTTATCGATCATTTTCAGTGTCTGAAGAGAGAATATTTTAGGTGTGTTCACAGTGAACACACTGCGCCGGAAAGGGTCAATAATAAAGGGTAAAAAAGAATGAATGAAATGAAAACCCAGCAGATTAGAAGACAAGACAAAGAAATCCTGGCAAAGTCATGCAAGTTGGCAGCTATGTATTACACAAATACAAATCTAGTTTTTGAAATTTATTATTCTAGCCTCCCAGCAAGGTCCAAATTACTGAATTTAGTTACAGTCAAAGGAAATAAAAATTTAAGTCCATAAAAATCTTTAAAAAGTGATTCAATTCGGAAAAAGCATATTTTTTATACTTTAGCTTACTTATCATTCAAATTGTATGTAATTTTGGGCTTTAAATAAAGGTAAAAACTTCTGATGGCTAATTTATCCATGGAAAATGAAGAAATAGTCATGAGAAATGTATGCGTTGATAGACAATAAAAGAAACACATTGCATCACTTACATAGGTGTAAATAAAATCCTGCAAATAAGCATAATTTCAAGTGTTTAACTATCTTCAGTAACAACAAGCATTAGTCCTGATTGTTACAAATGAAATGGCAATCAGCAGTTTCTGCCACTAAAAGAATGCATACCAAATGAAATTACTAAATATATGATATTATTTCTGAATGTGAAAAATTGTTCTATTGAAGCAGATTTGCCTAAAACTGTACTAAAAACAAAGAGTGTTCTTAATGAGCAAAAATTAGGATAACTCATTTAAACGATACAACAATAACCAGCGAAGAGTGGGTGTCTGGTAAAAATTGAAAGAAATACTGAAGTTAACATGCTGAAAGCTGCTGTGAAAACGGGCAAAAATAGAATCAAATTTTATGAATGGAATAAAAAAGTGGACAATATGTTTAAAAGTGCAGCTGTAAATGGAAACTTCTGTAGGGATAATGAAATATTTAAGAAATAACTTTCCCACATTTTGATGCAACTTTTATTTCGCAAAAAAATTATACGACTGGAAGCACTTTTTTTTACCAATCATCTCTCGTATAATATAAATGAATTTTAAGTTGAATTCTGTTCATTAAAAGTTTTGCTCAGAGACAGTATTACTTTGTACAAATATGTCTTTTTTTTTTTTTTTTTTTTTTTTTTTTTTTTTAACAATTACATTATACACCATTGTTTCATTTGGTGAAAAATGCCCACTTACCAGTTACTGTTACATAATACTGTTAATATTGCAGAGCCAATTTTTAATTTACTTTCCAGCATCACTTAGTACCAAATTATGATAATGTAAATTTACGCATAATTTTCTTGCAAGTTTCTGTACATTAAGATAATTTGAAAAATAAACTTATGTACTACAAAAATATATTGGAATAAAAGTTAAAAATAAAAGAGAAACTTCTGGTAAAGAATACTGAAAATCAAGCAATATAAAAACAAATTTTATGAATATTTTTATTGATAAAAATAAAGAAAAATACATAAATTTATTCATCAATTTCACGATTTAAAATTCGAACAAAAGGCATAAAATCAGCATTTAAATAAGCATCAATAATACCATTTATCATATCGGATATTAAGCTTTCATTGTAACCAATCTGGCGAGCGCAGGATGATATTGCACATTCAAATTGATTATTTTCCCTTTTACCTTGAAAATACTCAAATGGAATTTTGACCTCTTGCCTTTTAAAAGTATCATCATTAAAAAAAAATGTAAACTTCTCATCTCCTTCCAAGTTACAATATAAGCCAGCTACAGGTTGTTTTTTGTCTCGTGTAACTATGGTGCGAAAATTGAAAACCAAATTTCTTTTTTCTGAAACACTAATATAACTCAAAAACTTATGACCAACATAAATCAAGTTAATCCAACTGTTAACTTTGCCATTTCTAGTTTCCTTAACATGCCATTGAATATAACTTCCCTCTAAAGAATAACAATATTCTTTTTTTGATTTCGCAGTTTCACTTAATAGGAACCAACCAGTGTTAGGATACATCCCATCACACATAATAATTACAGGAATGTTAACGTGATAACCTGGATCCAAAACAATAAAACCCTCCCTTTCTTCAACAACAATTTTGAGAACAACTAAAACATGCTCTTTGACACTTGAACTCATTATAGGTGGAGAACAACTAATGTAAGTATCGATATCGCAAACCATCTCCTCGCATGAAGCAAGAAATAAAGCAGATTTTAACTCAGGATAACAATTACTAAGAGTAGATTTCATGGTATCAACTAAAGAACAACCTAATCCAACACAAGACAAACTCTCTGGCAGTATCTCAGGCTGATAACTATGATAAAAATCTTCTAAACTGCGTTCTTGTTTCAAGAAAGCTTCATAAAATGCAAGGAAACTTCCGACGGTGTTATATGGATGACTTTCCAACTCTGCACCAAGAATAAGACGTAGTTCCTGCAGGAAGAACTGGAACGTTACAAGCGAGGAGAATTCCAGGGGTTCTGGTTCGTTCCCCCACTCTGGTTCCGGCAGAAGTTGTTCATTGTCACATAGCTTCTCCTTGTCAGTAAGAAGTTCTGTTTTCACCTATAAAAGATAAAAACAATGTAATCAACTGATTTAATCTGCAACTTCATGTAATATTTTATATTGACTATTAACTTTCACCAAACACATTCATCAAAATATGAAATGCATAATTTATAGATAGTCATACAAAACCAAGGCCTGAAGTAAGAAAGTTTTTTTTTTTACTCCAAAATACAATAATTTTCTCCTTAATTTGCAAAATAATAAAATATTTTCACAAAGAAAAAGAAATAATGTTCACATAAATGTCAAGTCTCAATTAACCAATTAAATGCATAGGATTTTCATCATTATTATATGAATTATGATAAGTGAAAATTACAGGCACTAGAATTTTAAACAAATTAAATTATGTTGTTACGAAATGCATGGGCACGGTGAGATAGCTTCCCCGCAAAGCAGGTTTAGGGTTGCCATAACATGGCAAGGGTTACATTATAGTTGCCATAACATGGCAAGGGTTACATTATAGTTGCCATAACATGGCAAGGGAAGGCAGGGTTGCCAAATTTGACGATAAATGGCTCATTTCGTGACAAAATTGGCGATATGCCATAGATGGATGGAGAACTTTCTGGAAAAAGTTATTACCGGTTTAGCCCAGAATATTCTCGAACACAAGCCGAAAGCTATATAAACCCTGCTGGTCCGCAGTCAGTTAGTGTAAGTGTGCCTCGTCTAATGAGCTGATAGTCAGACATTGAGCAAGTGTCTCGTCTAGCGACGAGTGCATTGAAGAGTCTCTTAGTGTATCATCGAGAGAGTGTGTTAACCTCTGGGAACGACTGAACCAAAGAGTCGGGAGCTGTGCTCTGTGTGTCGTCGAGTGCATCGCAAGTTGTAGCGTGGAGAGTCTCGACAGTACGTGTAGTTCCGAGAAGTGGTGTGGTGTATTTAATTATGGCAAAGCACACTAGGGCTATCTGCCTAAGGGGAGGGATGCCTTCGTGGAGGACTTTCTAAGGGAAACTGGCTCGTATACACGTTACACATGGGGAAAACCACGAAAACGCCCATGCAGCCAGCCCGTTCGTGGGATTCGAACCTCGGACCGAACTACTAGTGTTCAGCGACTTTACCGCTCGGCCGCTGGTGAGCCTAGTTCCGAGAAGTACAGAGCAGAGTTGGGAACTGTACTCTGGTGCTTTGTAGTAAAGCTATCTCCACCGTTATTGCCTGACAGGGATAACGCTGTGTTGCTGATTGTTCCAGCGAGTGTATAGTAGATCTTCGATGAACGTAAAATATGACTTTGGAGCCGTCCTTATTAACATTGGCTAAATAAAGTGTGTTTCAATACTTCATCAAGTGTCATTATTCACTCCAAATCTACGAACCCCATACGAATGTGAAGGAAGAAAATAACGTAACAATATTATTGTTTGAAATAACTAATATTTTAAATAGTACCACCTTTCAAATATTTAATATGTTGGTACTTTTCCATTTTGCCGGCGCCAGCGATAAAGTCGCCAATAATGGTACAACCGATGCCAAACGAATTATTCTCGCTGGTAACATTTTACGCCTCATTTTTAAAACAAGTCGCAGTTTTTTTTATCAGATTGATTGTTTCTTTCAATACTGGCATATAATTACATAGAATTTTTATCAGAGTTCAGTTTTATGTCCAAGGCCATTTTCGGTAATTACGTCAATTAGGATGCAATCACAGCGCTTACCCGAAACCGAAAATATAGAAAAGGTAAAGTCAACGGTTAAATTTATCAATTCTAATGAGAATGCATTAGCGAAGTAAAGCACTGCAGTTTTACATAATTTATGAGTAAGCTATTCGTACGAATTGAAATATTTCTTGCATTTAAACTTGTGTTCCAAATTAAGATTTAACTTGAAATTAATGTAGATAATTACTGAGAGTATTACATTTTTGTAGAGTAGTTTACGTGAGATGAGATCGCTTGGGGTCACGTGGTATGAACGGGCGAATCAGGTTGTTGAACCACGAAAGCATAGTAAATTCTTAAATTAATGTCTTTTTACAAATTTATTGTCTTTATTTATTGGCTTTTTATAAAAATTTAAGCGATATTAAAATGTTTATGTCTTCAAAATAAAAAATTCTTAAAACTAACATTTTTTAAATATTTTTTATGTGTATACTGTATGTTGTCGCCAATAAAGTCTGCTTGGCGAGATTTGCGCCGGCGAAACGGGAAAAGTACCAATATTTTAAATAATATAACTCAGAAAAAGAATGCCACTTAATATTTAAAGCATTAAAAAATTACTCAGATTTAAAGAATACTCTCGACTTTCATTTATGCAGTGATATTGACATTGCAAAAAATTATGCAATTTTGCTTATTTTATGCTCCTTTCTTAATGAACAGATCATAGTTATGAACTTCAAAAAAATTTTTGGTTAATCTTCGGATTATGGTAACTTGGAGATTTTTTGGCGACCAACCCTGCTACAGCAGCCTGCTAGTTTTTTTGGGGGGGATGCCATTTTGTTTTCATAAAGTAAAGGCTTTTTTTTTTTCCCTCAACATTTTTTCCAACAATCTGCTAGAAGAATTACACTTATGCTAGAACTTTTATAGAACAAAAGTGCTTAATCATGAAGATTAAGTGCGAAATAGGGAGAAAGTGCAGAATCGGCCACTGCTTGCCGCGTTTTTAAGAACTGCACATACACGGTATCATCCATGTACACGTCAACCTATTTTCACTTAAAAAAACATCCCAGAATTGCACAAAAATGGCATTGAGCACACTCTTGACTTTATCCATGTACACTGCTAAAGTCCTAGCTAGTAACCTTTATCGCCTTACCAAAATGTCGCCAAACTACCTGTTACCATATTCCAAAGATTAGTCATTTTTTTTTTTTTTTCTTTGCTTTGTATTAGAAGAATATGTTAAAACTAGACTCTTCAGGTTTGGTATCACTAAGCTAGTATATTCAACTTACAAAAAAAAAAAAAAAAAAAAAAAAAAAAAAAAAAAAAAAAAAAAAAGAAAAAAAAGAAGAAAGAAAGAAAGAAAAAAGAAAAAAAAAAAAAGAAAATCATTTTGCAACACAATTTTAATAGGAATCAGTTAATGGTTTTCTTATAATTAATTATCTAATGCTTGAATAACTTCATATTTTTTACAAAAGATATACAAAAGAAAAAATAAATTATAGTCGTAAGATCATGTAAAAGAATAAAATAAATTATGAAAAATCTTTTCTTTGGAAAAGAATAAGAATATTTTGTATGCAGGGATATATTAAACTACTAGACATGGTTCAGATTTTTCTTTTCCCCTCTCCACAAGTAAAAACACAAATACCAAGCAATTTCTTATCAATTTTTACTATTAAAACAAAACACAATTTTTAAACTTTACTTTTTCATGTCATTTGACAGAAAATAAATAAACACATGAAAACGATAACAAAAGTCATTTCACTAACCTGTTCTTCATTTCTGAGGTTCAAAATGTCAGGTAGGATCAGGTTGGTTCCTTGACCCAGGCTGGACTGCCTATAAGTAATAAATAAAGTTTAAAAGAATTATAAAAAATAAAACAGACAAAATTTTGATCATGAAACAGGAATCATCTCCTCACACTCAATTAAAAGCATACATATTAGAGCTATAACTTATCTTTCTGTACAACATAACATCAAGTTTTTTTTTTTTTTCTTAATGTAGAAATATAACTGAATTTTATACTTTAATATTTATTATTTACAATTATTAGGTCTGAGAGGTAGGAGAGAAATCTAACTTTAAATTTGTTTTTTCCATTTGCTCTGCTTCATTGGTTTATTTAATTATGGCAAGCACTCGAACTTATGCACTATCTGCATAAGGAAAGGCATGACTTTCTGTAAGAAACTGGCTTGTATACACGTTACACGTGGAGAAAACCACGAAAATGCCCTTGAAGCCAACTGTTCATTGAGATTCGAACCCTGGACCGAACTACCAGCATTCAGTAACTTCACGGCTCAGCTTTCGGTGGGCCATTTGCAATTATCAGTTTTCAAAAAACAAGTGAATATCTTCAAACTATAAGCTATAATGCAAGCATTCACATAAACAATTTTATGTGCCAAATAACATGCCTGTTCGCATTCAAACTCATGCGACAGCCTTCCACACCATTATAAAAATGCATCTTGAAAAATCAAAAAGGGTAACTATAACCTTCGACTGCTTTGGAGCACTTGAAGCCCCACCATACACTTAAAATATTCCATACCATCCATTCATACTAATTGATGATTTAAGTTTGTGGAAAGCCCAGATTATCAAGATGTCCTTAAAAATATACAGCATTCTAAATTATTTGTATGAAGAAAACGTTTGTAGAAGGCAGTAGCAAAGGTACAAAGCTTTGATAATTCAGATACTGAATGGGATCCATAGAATAAAACTGCAGCAATAATAAAAAGTAAAAATGAAAATATATGAATATTTTGTAGCATTTGAGTCTCCAATTATCCAACTAATTTTACTAGCATGCTTTAAAGATAGCAATAGAAAGTAGTGTTTTTTGTCTACTTAAAATTTTTTAACAAATTATTAACAAAATGTTCGGTTTAATCCTAGTATCCGGGGCACACAGGATTTGGCTACTTTTATGATGAGCAGTGAAAACTAGACATGTACGATGAGTAGTAAACAGGTATTCAAAGAATATATATAGTTATACATAGTATATACTATGTATATAGTGATAGCATATAGTGTATAGTATATACATAGACATTCTTAGGGTCATTTTTGGTGTTGTCGATAATTTTCAAAATCGCGCCAAGGCTGCACCGTATAATAGAATTTTACCATATGTTCAAATAAATGTATATAAAACATGTTATATAAGCAGCAATTTAACAATCACATCTACTAGCTGTGATTGCAATTCAGAGATAATGAAAAATTTCATCTGATATATTCAATTAATTTTTTAAAAACTAATTCAATATTCACTTTTTTGCAACAGTTTAAATGAAAAATTCTAAATATTATGTACTTTGTTTGTTTGCAGTAGTAAAAATGAGACGATTTTTCATCAATTAAAATTAAATTGCTGCACACATGGTAAGCGATTTAAATATTTCTCGTATTATAAATGTAATTAATGACAATTATTTTCATATTTAAGATGTGATAAATGCTTTCATGTATGAAATACTTAATACACGTTCTATATTTCATTACTTTGACACTCTTTCTGAAAGGTTCATTCTAAGAGCTAAACAATAAGAAGTCCGTAATTTATAAAAATTGCACTTAAAAATTTAAATAATAGTTTAAGAATCATTCAGAAGTAATTTCAGTAAAGTAAATGGTAATAAAAATGTGAAAAATTTTAAACCAAGAGGAAAATATGATGATAAGTTTCATATTCATTTGCATCCTTTAATTATATGCAACACAGTATATAGGGCTAGAAAAGAAATTATAAGTACCTGTAGAGGGTGGCATATTTCTCTTGATCCTCGAGTCAAGATGGCCATTCTGCGGCAAACTTCTCTGCTATACTGAATGTACAACTTTTCAAATGCTGCACAAACGACCCATTAGAACGTTCGTCCAATGTATCTAAAATATAAACTTTCATTTTAAAATGCATTCATAATACTCAGCAACAAATTAATTCATAAAAGATAAGAAATGAAAGAAATAATGCAACTATCTTTCACGACTGATAAATTATGATGTTTGTTGCAGATGTCATAGAATGCCTTCAAGGTGGTCTATCATAAAGATGCCATTATTATTATGTAAACTGGCCATAGTTCATAATAAAATAAACCTTCATTAATTGTGCCCCAGCACACAGATGCTCCCACCTCCCTATGGCTACCACTTCTACAGTACACCGAAATTATGAATTGCTGTCTCAAGAGGAATTTCTATATAAATATATAATAAAATATATCTCCAATATGAATAATATATATCTCTAATATAAATAATACAATAATAAAATATATCTCTAATAGAATAATACAATAATAAAATACATCTATAATATGAATAATACAATAAAATATATCTCTAATATGAATATTATTTTATAGATGATCCTACTACAAATTAATGTAGAAACTATCGAGTTTATAGATAATAAGCTATTCCTTTCACTAAAATTTCACACTCCTTTATTAATGTAGCCAAATTTGTCATACAAAACTGTATAAATTCTTAAGACAATGTGTATGTGATAGTCACTACAATAAGAAAGTCTTCAATTTCTTTATCTATAGATAAATACTTCAAAATTATGATTTACATCAGTATTACTGGAACATCTTTCTTTATTTATCTTTGCCTTGATATGTGTAAAAATGTTTATTTGCCAACTTGTTTTACAGAAAATATATTTCAGGGAAGTATTATCTGCAAATTTTAAACTTATTTTAAATACCCTAACCTTCAAAGACCTTATCCACTTATATACTCAAAAAGGAGATGGTGGAAAACAGAAGTGCAGGATTATGAACTAAATAGAATTTAGAATACCTGATTTATAGCTAACTTATTGATAAAGAAGTAGACCAATTCTAAATATGTTGACTAAGTCCTTTTTCATACAAAGCTATTCTCAAAAATGGATCATTCTTCATAAAAGCATTAGCAACTTCCTGCAATGATTTTACATGAAGAAACGGAAATATTATTTTATTCACTACTTAATTAAATAGCAGTACCGTAGGGAAAAAAATATCTTTTAAGAAAATTGTCTTTTCCCCCCAAGTTAAAAACTAATCTTAATAAAAGTATGGATATTAGAAAGTAAAAAATTAATATCAAAATATGGTATTGTATTTACTTGTAAGGTATATGCAGCAGTTGAAAGAAAATTTTCCCATTAAAACAATTTTTCAAGTTGATACTAGCTGCCATATTATTCATATAACTTAAGCTTTAAATTAATTGTAGCTAAAAAAATAAATGCATTTATGTTAATTATTATCTACTGTATAAAGAAATGTACTAGCATGGAAGTTAAGCTGATTAACTTTTCTAATGAAATCATCAGAAAATTCAAACTATCCACATAGCTATTCTTGTTTAGATAATCTTTGTATTCTTTACTTTAACTGAACAGTTCTAGCCAAACTGCATATTCTTTCTTCATACAAATATTTAATTATGCAGAAATATTCAATATATAAAAAACTTAACATGTGTTATACAGTAAAATGCAAGTTCATCAAATGCTTACGGATTTTAGGAAAATGCAAATTTTTCAAATGTTTACAATTACAGCAATCATCAAAATTTTGAAAAATATTTAAAACACGAAAAAACAAATACCTCCATTACTGAAATATTTACAATAATTCGATTATAAAATCAAGTTCTTTCTAATCAATTTTGTCTCAAAAATTTACTTCTCTTACTTGGAATAAAATCATTATAGAAAGATACATTTTGAAAAACTCTCTACGGATTTTTACAGTTTGTTCTAAAATCTCGGACCCGCTGTACGTTTGCAATATTTCTTTTACCCAATATTTAAATATTTCATGACATACAGCGACACACAGACCATACTTCATATACAAGTAACCGCAACGCAATTCCACATTCTATCTCAAATTGCTTACTTGTCAAAACATGTTGTACTTATGAAAACCTAATGAACATTTGATATTATTTTTAAGTTATTCGAAATGTCCAAACTATTTTACCCAATATTATTCTATCTTTACATTAAAAAAAATTAGCACGTAACTTCTCGAATAACCGATTACTCGCTGTTTCACACATTTATTCCAAAACTGATATTGATAAAAGTCAGATTTTGACGCCGTATTAGCCATTCTGAAAATATTTCTATATGTAGGCTTACAATTCGATACTCTAAAAGGTAATTGATAATGCACAAATCAGTTATCATTTTCTCTACTTTGGTATGTCTCGTAGCATAGAAACAGCAAATATTCGTAAACATTACAGCAGAATTAGTATACATATAAAATACTTTATCAAGATAAAAATACACCTATTTCTACTGCATAAAACATTAAAGTAACAATTAATTTGGAAACGTTTAATATAAATGTGGTAACTTTCACCATAGTAAGACTAATACCTCATTATTCAAGCTATGTTCTAGTCACTTACCAATCTATTATATACCAGATATACTCATAACAGTTTAATTTATAGTTATACGTTGTACAACCACATATTAATACAAAATGTAGAGTTAAAATGAAATACAAACCCATACAACGTAGCCTTACGCGTACACAAACTGAGCGAGGATGCACCTCTCTCGCACAAAGACTCCTGCGCACACTACACGTTAACTCAACAGACTGATCACCAGCGGTAGACCTAGCGTCCCCACGGTTGCGATGAGTAACTGTTACATTCGCTGTTGTGGATATTTATTACGTGTCTGAAAGAGGGTGGGGGAAGGGAGATACGAAGCAATATTGAAAGCCTTTCCTACGCAGACCAAAGTTCAGCTGTTTCTATATCAATGCGAAACATGAATGACGTTTTTTACACTGGCAGGTGAATGAAAGATACACCAGATTATGTTTGCACAAATAAGGCGTAAACGTAACACTCGCAAGTCACGTGTTGATCACATGATTCCTTAATTAGCAACAAGGCCTCATTTTTCATTCTTTACTCTCAGATGACTGCGTGGCTTTATCGCTTTCATACGATAAACTCAGATTGAAAACTTTATTGTTAGCCAAATATCTTTCATCTTTGATTAAATGCTAAGAATGTTACCTATTCAATGAAATTCGTTTCATCTTATTTACTTTGTTAAGTGGCAGTCACTGAAAGTTTCTTAAACATTGCGGAAGAAAAAGTTAAGAAAAGCTGAAAACTCTTGAAAAAAATTTAGGGGACTGTCTAAGAAGATTATTGAATTATTGGCACAATAACATATTTATGTGTTTTTAATGACAGAAAAATTATAATTTTCAGCATACTTAATTAGAATTTAAGATAGGTATTTGTCTTTTTGTCATTCTAATAAATTAAATCCTCTTGTAGCGAAAGAATGTAGTTTTACAGAAGTCATGGAAAATCAAATAAGATTTTGATTACGTAGTACATTTGGCATATGATAGGTCCATAGTAAGTTCAAAATATTTGAATTCGTTAATTCACTTGTATATCGGGAGGGCGTTTCTACTAAATTTGAATTCCTTTAAGACAGAAAACCTGAGTTTAATTTGCTGCGAAAGTACTATCAGTTTGAATAAAAAGAAGAGGGCGGGACACCCGAAAATTTTTCCTTCTTGTATGATGAAAATGGAATTTTTAAAAAGCAAAGAACAGTCTTAGAGAATTTTGCACAATGTTATTCATTTACAGCATTCAATGTTTTATTGAAACAAATAAGAAAAAAAACTGAAAGGTTTCAGATTTTAAATTATACACCTGATACATTCCCAAAAATGCGAATAATAACTCGTATAACTTAGACCAGCGGTTCTCAACCTTTTGACTAACGCGTACCATGTAAACAAAAATTGAAAGTCTTTAGTACAACCACTACAAAGTACTACTACCACCACCACTCTTGAGCAAAGCTCATATCGCATAAATTTACTAGTGTTAGAGAAAAAACTCAATCAGGATGTTCGGATTTTAATTTTTTAATTTGATAGTTAAAAATACTTTGCTTCTTTTCTTACCACCTATTTTCTCTCGGGTACCACCAATGGTACACATACCGCTCGTTGAAGGAACATCATAGAATAAAAGGTCACTTTTAGCGCCAATAATTTATCTTTCGCATTTCTCAAAACTTCAAAGCATGAGCATCATTTGAAGCTTTAGTAACCAGGCAGATTTTACTTCTTCTTGTGGTAATTTTTAAAATATTTGCTAGATTCTCATTTATTATGAGTTATGCTTTTTTTTTTTTTTTTTTTTTTTTTTTTTTTTTTTTTAGAAGCAGAACATTCTTCTTAATTTCTTCCATACAGTGACAGACGTTCAGACAAAAAGGGATGTATATTCTTCTAGATTACAAGGAAATGTTATGTCCTTTGATCAACAATGCTATGAATGGAACTGAAAATAATATTATCTACAAAATGGGAGATAATGGTGTAAATAATCAAATGAAGGATGATGGCATTCAAATAGAGTTTCCTCTAGTAAACACAGACTTCCGCAAATTGTTAGAAAACTCCGAGTGGGATTCCTATATTGCGAAATTCGATTAATACTGTAGATTATGATTAAAAATAGAGATAATATTTTTTCCGTTGTTTTGTCTATGATATTATTTTCGTGAATGAAATATTTGTAAGTCACTTTCATGTCGTACGTAAGTCAACCCCTAGACCACGGATGAGCCAACTCCGGCCTGCCGGAACTTTCTATCCGGCCCGCGGATAGAATTTTAATTTGCCGGTCCAAGGCAAATAAAAGAAATGTATATTTATATAATATATATCCACCTCCTTTTCTACTTTGTTTAAATATTATTTTTCTTCCTTTTCTTTAAGAGAATCTTCTTACTTTTTCTATTTTTGTTCTGAAAAACATAAATCGACGGAAATAGCAAGCACAGACAGCTTTCGATCGGTTAAGTGTTAAAAGCGGAAGTCCTTTGTTAGTTATAGCTGTAGATTGGCCCCAACAAGCGTTATCTCTTTCTCGGGGAGCAGACATATGGGAATCCAATGTAGGTAAATTTGACCTCTTAGAAAAATTAACTGAACTTATTAAGTTTTAAAACTAATCTGTTTTGGGCAGCTAATAAAACGATTATCTCTTTTCCGAGTTAAATTCAATCCTCAGTAAAGAAGAGAAACTAAGCATATGCAATGGCCTTGAAAATCCATTTTGAGTTCGAAAGAAGATTTCTGCCATTCAACAGAACTGGAATACTTTAAACCAGTTTTCAATGTAAATTGTGAAGCTGGTCAGATTTGCAGCTTGAAATTAAGGATTTGAATCTAACAATCATCTCATGCAGTTGATCTAAATATGCCATTTTTTACAATCTTATCAAAGTAAAGTTTCCCAAGTTAATATACTACGCCCAAAAAAATCAGTGCTATGTTTGCTTCATCTTATATATACGTGAACAGTGTTTCAACTATAAACCTAGAAGAATTATTTCAGAAGAACTGACAACATTTAGCTTCTTCCTTAGAACAATACATCTCACTTCGAACCTCAATATAAGAAACTTTTAAAAATGAAAACGCAACTTCATTCATCTCATTAATATATTTAAATTGTAATACTTGTATATTACTTTTTAAATTTTAGAAGAATTTGTCTTAGGGGCAAGGGTCATCTTAGAGACAAACGTTTTTTTTTTTTTTTTCGATTTTTGGCTCGCGACCGAAAAGGTTTGCCCATCCCTGCCCTAGACCTTAATGATAAAAATTTTGCTAAAAATTCTCGGATTATACATGGAAATATACAGCATTTTAGTTAAACTGTGGATGAACATAATATTAGGATGGTGAGTAAATGTTTTGGTTTTCCGACGTATAATAGTTTCTGTCCCATATTAGCCAATTCTGCAGCATTCAGCTACTTGTGAATGTACCGAACAATGTAAAAAATAGTTATAGATTAGAAATGAACGCTAAGGTGTTTGATAGTTTTACCCAATGCTAAAATCCGAGTATCATGTGTCACAATTTTCTTCTATCACCAACGGCTGAAAAATATTTCTCTATGACAGGAAAACTCGTTGTTTGCGTTCCGCTCATTGTAACACACAAGGGAGCGCTTTTAGCATGGGATAAACAACATGCGCCTTGGACCAGACTTCAGTAGATCATCATGTTTTGAACGCTGATTCTCGGCGTACCTGTAGTTTGGAGAAGTTGGAACACGATACATTCCTCCCTCATCTGGGGCAAGGGTCATTGCAACGGTGGAAGTGAAATGGTATAGGCAGGCATTATGCTGGACGGCCTCAAATACCTGCATGTGTTTGACAAAGGTTCCCTGACTACTATGGGGTATAAAGAGGAGATCTTAGAGCCCTATATTCGACTTTTCAGGGTTTCAGTTTGTCCTATGTTCCTGTTAACAGCCGATATCACTTGTCCATATAAAGCTCAGCTGGTCGACGATTACTTGGAAAGTGAGGATATTTGCCGCAAGGATTGGCCAGCCAGATCTCCTCTTAGGAGGATCTGCGTTGATGCAGGAATGGGATCGACTGCCACAAGGACTACTCAACTGTTTCTGTCCAGTATGACTTCACGCTGCGAAACCTGTCTGGCTGTGAGAGGGGACCATATCCCATATTAAATGCTTTTTCAGTTCGATATAATAAAGGGGATTTTGGACATCTCTGCACTATGAGCTTTATTGATAATCATGCGTGCATAAAATTACTTACATGCGTGCATTAAATTACATCTCTTTTTTGTGTCATGTATATTCATACATAATTTCACTAGAATCTGTCCATTATTTTTCATAAATTCGACATCATGTGTAAATTCTCTTAATAGCACATGACTATATTTATGCGGTGATATAGATAATTATATATGGATATTCCTATTCAGAATCCAGTTTATATATTGCAAAAATATTCAACATCAAACAGCATCTATTTGTAGATACAATATACACATTAGTACGCTTAGAAAATATGTCTACGGAAAAGATTTCTACCGAACAGAAAAGGAAGCTTAAGCACAAAATTTGATTTCTAAATTTCTATTGAAAACTGTAAGAGTGTACACGTTAATCTGTTGAGGACAATCGAAAGGGATTCAACAGGGTGGACAGAAAGTTCCAGGTACGATCATTTGATTGTAACTTTAGTATCACTTACAGTTATTTGTCCGAAAAATCTGCATATGCACTATCATTATCCCTACTCAGCTTAATACGCCTGCATGTCCTCATACTCTTCCGCTTTAGCAGTTAGGGCGACAGATGCTGGAAAGCTTTAAGCACATTTGCCCGCAGAATATCATTGTCCATGTACCGTTTCTTCTTTACATAGGATTTGATGTCCCCCAGAGCGGAGACGAACTTTCCAGGCGAAAAGATTTTTCCACGTTATCAAAGTCTGACAACCATGTGGTCAAAGTCTGACGATCAAAGATAGCTCCTTGCCGAACCGTAAGTATCCATCATCTGTGTCATATTTTTCGTTTCTGTGTTTCCGTTCATGGATACACATACCTGTCACTTCTCCCTCCTCCAAAGTGAAGGCACTGGTATCTGCCAGTGTTCTTCACCAAGCACAGAAAGAGAGACCAACTGGTCAACGCATAGAACTTTATTCTCCTTCTCAAGTAGTCACGTGGCAATTACATTAAAAATCACACGAGGAGCATTGTTGCCATATCAGTGATAAGGGTGGGATTTTATATCTAAATATCGTACCATCTTACACTGTTACTGTAAATGGACTTTCTGGCTACACTGTATTTTCGACATATTTCGAGAACCTGAAGATTGCAGACACCAGTGCATATCTATTGCTCTTGGTCTCTAGTTACGACACTAGTTTCTATAAAAATAAAGACAATTCTGGACTCTCTGTTTACTCTATGATTTGAAACACTCTAAGAAAGAAGGTGTAAACGATTTTTCGAATAATAATGATTTTTGAGAGGGCTGGGTTAATTAGTAAGAAATATAAGCAGGTGGTTATAACGCTCCAAGGCGAAACGTGACAACAGACATTTTTTGCAAGAAGAATTGAAAAGATGGAATTTACTTGTCTCTTTTTGTCTACTTTTAAATCAATAAAATTTAAGAAAAAGGAAATCTTGGGCGTCGGCTTTGGCTTGAAATAAAGTATCAGATGATGATTAATAGTAGTATATCAAAGATGGTTTTAATCAATCTTTGCTTTTTGGGGATCAACTTATAGAGGCATTGTGCAAAATCGATTACATACGTTAAATCAATTATACCGTAAGACTGGAACACAAACCTGGTCTGCATTCAGGTGTAATTATCAGAAACAAGATGGGATAACATTTCCCCCTCTGCATAATGGGTTCTTCATCAGGAACGTGCAAGGACACTTGAGGACACCTGATGCTTCGAGTTCTCAGGTGTCATAATTTTCATACCCCTATTTACGTCACTGGCAGTAACCCCAAACATTCTCTTATTCTTCCAAAGAAAGGCAATTAAGTATTAACGTATTCCATACCTAATGAAAGGAAGCACTTGTTATTATACCACAGAGAACTACCAAGAACCGAGCTATCATGGCCTTAATGGTTAACGGTTCTGAATTTAAGGTAGAGAAGTACTGTTCCAGAGAGAAATTACGCTTATTTTTATTATTTTTTTATATGCTTGTTATATAGAAGTCCTGGTCCACTGTTATTCACCTTTCATTTCTCTTGCAAAGTTGCAATGCAATTTGCGATAGGTGTTCAAATCTGCAGTAAATGAATGAAAAATTATCTAATGCGGAAACATATTGCAGGATCCTTATAAAGTTTGAAGCCCCCTTCAACCGCAGATGTTGCGGGGCTCCTAAACTGGCCCTGCATAGAAGTCCATACTTTTTCAGTGATTTGAGCTTGGGCCCATTAGTTTACAGCCAGCCATAGCGAATGCTACGGCTGGCTGTTTGGGTGAGAACGAGCAGAGAAATATACAGTAGTACACGGAATGAAGCAAAATATTTTTTAAAATCAATTAAGGGGTAATTTTTATTTCCTTTAAAACTTGAGTACAATGTACTTATTTTATTTTTCTTAATTAACGTATCCTAATTAACATAAAAAATTAGCAAAATTAAAGTAAACATTAAATATAGTAAATTTATAACGCAGTTTTTAGCGGTAAAAAATACACCATAAATAAGACACAAGTTTGTCTAAATAAATCAGGTCTAGGAGTAGTTCAAAATCCCAGCCCTTATTCGAAATCCTCAGAAATAATAAGAAAATCCAGTATTTAACAAAAGGTCATGTAGATTTAGCATACGAAAAGTTTTGACAGAAAAAGGGATATATCTGAAATAAATATATACAGTTTTTTCCTTATGTTTTACCGTTTAAAAACAGGAAAGGGAAAAGTACTCGGTATATATTCTTTCTGAAAAGACTCCTTAAATAACAACCATAGCACATTAACACTAATATTAATTTATTATGTATTTCAAATTATTTTCTATAACATTCTTCTTACTTACACGAAGTACTTTTTATATGTGTTCACATTTTACATTTTATCATAAATCAGAAGATTTTAAACCATACGCTGAAAAAACTTGGGGGGGGGACGCACGAGGAGAGAAATATGCGAATAAATAAGGTAATTAATTCGAATATCGATTGAATAAATTTTGAGCAGCTTTGAGTTGATAGAAAATGAACAAACATCATTTCAAATTCCAATTATTTGGTTTCATTGAAGAATATTAAAAATATTTCTTAGTCACTGGAAAATTCATGCAAATACGGGGCAAATGGGATTTAAATAAATAAAATTCGGGTTTTAATCACAGATAGGCTGAAAAAATATTGAACGAAACTGGAAAACAATGAATGCTGATTTAGCTGAAAAAGCATAAAGGAAGGAAACGGAACTCAGAACTTCCTCTACTTTGTTACGCAGGTTGACGTGCTTATCAGTTAAGTCACCTTCAACTCTCCAAAACACAAGAAAAATAAAAGAGTATAGGAAATGAGCAGAAAAATGTCTTGCGAAAATGCAAGGTAATCTAGAATTCTGCTAAAAATAGCAATAGTTTTGGGTACTAGTTATAAAGGATGTGGTACAACACTTTTAACGAAAACAAATCCGGCTGCAAAACGTGTCCTGAAATTAATATCTGATATATAACTTCGAAATAAATGACATTATTTGAAGATGCTTAACGTTAAATTTTAAAAATGTCTTTTTAATTGCAGAAATATATGTATACGAATAATATTTAATTAAAATAGAAATTAATGCAATGTTCAGAATTTTATACTCGAACACACTTTGCAGAATATTACCACAAAAGTTTAGAAAGTTATCGAATTTTTAAAAATTCTATAATTAAGATTTCAAGTATTTCATTTCTTCAAATTTTCTAAAGCGAAGCAATTACAGCTTTTTAAGAGAACTGTAGGACAGTGATGGGGGGGGGGAAAGCTCTGAAATCTATGCAGTTTTAAGAATGTATATAATACATGTTGAAATTTAACCTTTAAGTATTGCAAACAGTGAGAGATCCGTCTGAGCTAAGCAGAATAGAAGGGAATACGTAGTTCTTTATCCGTGTGAGATGTGGAAAGAGGAAACTACGTCAACAATAAGTTCTTAATGGTTCCAGATACACGGATGAACCATTATGGAAGCAGAAAGTAAAAAAAAAAAAAAAAAAAAAAAAAAAAAAAAAAAAAAAAAAAAACCCACATTCCAAGAAAACACCATGCAGAAAAAGTAATCTTAACTGGAAAGTCACAGCGAAAGCTGATATTAACAAAATGATATCAGAAATATCTTGCAATAAAATTTTCATTTATACGATATGCATATATTTCGAATTTTCATTTATACGGTATGCATATATACGATATGCATATTATCATTGTTATGGGCTTTCTCCGAAACTTAACTGCAACAAATAAGAATATTTCCAAGTAGTCAGAGACTTATAAGATGAATAAAAATCGTCTCCAAGTAAATTTTGACTTGACTTATTCTGAAAATATTTATAAAATTACGTATATCACGGAATATGCATTCTAGTTTATATTATATGCCTAAATTTTACATAACATGTTAACTTCTTAACATGCCCTGGGTAAAAAAAGAATTTGAAATGCTATGCGTTCACGCATATTTAGTTCAAATTCAAAATATGAAACCGTTTATAAACTGTTTTACCAAGAGACAGAAAAATTGACATCCAAACTAGCATTCTTTAAGGCATTTTT